CAATCAAAAATCCTTAAAAGTATTTTAATGTGTTACTAATTCAGAATGTAGACAGCATTAATGGATAATGTGACCTGCACTGAATTGCAACGCAGATCAAAATATTTCTCAAAAACAAGGCACTTTGTGTCAGATTTACAAAGTTAATTGTTTTTATTAATTAATTATTAATCCTCTGACACGTTACATAAAAATGCACTGTAAAAACCTGGATGGTCACATTAGTCCATGTATTGCTGTCACACATCTTCAAACTGCAAAGGTTTGCAACTTTGGCACTAGAATCCCTCAAAATACTGAGGAACACTGTGCTGCTATGTGCCACAAACACAGAGATCTGAGGATTTGTTTCAGACAAAAAGGTACAATATGGGAAACAATGGTTACAGTTGCATTAAAGGATGAATGTGACAAAGAGAAAGACTTTATCTGAATTCAAGTTAATTGCTGATAAATCCACCTAATGGTCATTTATCAAGAAGTTAAATCCTCAGAGCTCTAAATAGGCAACAGTCCAGACAGATCATACCGAAGGAAAAAGTCAATTAAATGACTTTAGGAAGAGATTTAAAGCTGCTTCTTGAACTGTGGCAGTCATGTTGTTCCACACAAGAAAGGATGCTGGGAACCGACTGTAGAATACACATATACAAAGAGATCCCAGATCCATCATGGCTCCAGGAAACAATTTCCAAGTTACTTTTAGCATAATTTTTTTTTTTTTTTAGTCTAATTTCAAGAAGTCTCACAGATGCAACTGGTTGGAAAAGCTACAAGCAGCAAGTATAGTGAAGAGCCCAGGACCATGTCTTAAGAGACACCGACAATCAACATGTTTTTCAAATTCTGTTTTAACATCGATATGAACAAAAGACTGTATGTTTTGACATATTTTACATCAGTTTAAAGGTTGCAAAGCAAATCAGAGTAAGAATCATCCTTTGTGAATGAGATAAAGGTGATTATAAAAAATGATTGATGTGTTGTAAAGCAGAACAAAATGAAAATTTGGAAAAACTGAAATCAATCAAACTAAATGATGAATATTATGTCTTGTTGCTGTGGGGGGAAATGGCTTGTTCCTACTGTGTCAGTGAATTTAGTGGCACATGCAGTTTTTCTGCTGGTGTAAGCCAGATGTCAACAGTCAGAAAAGAGTTATCTGCTCTTTTGGGATTATAACGCAACAACAGAATGTGAATTCACAGGCAAACAGGCAACGGAGGATCTGCGATAATGCAAGCATGAGTAACTCAAATGCTGAGCCGGGAATGGATAATGTTACTGACATTATTCTGCTTGTGGTTAAAAAGAAACGTAAAGAAAGAGGAGAGTGAACCGAAAGAAGCAAAAAGGCCGAAAGCAAGAGGAAAAGCCGAAATAGGGAAAGCCATCTCCGCACACAACAACAGACAGAAAAGAAAAAACATCTCCATATGCAACACAAGCGCAAACCATGCAAGAATTTTAGAAACTGAATGAAGGGTGAATTAAAAGTGATAATAATGGATGAGTACTTACTCTGTAATGCTCTGAACCGTGATATTTCCCCCCCATCCTCCTTACCCACAGCCCTCATTTGCTTGCTGATGGCTTGGCAGATTTCTTTGCCGGCTGCAATTTGTGCTTTCTCTCCAAGTAAGCCCCCCAAGGTGGCGCGTAGCATGAAGGAGACACAGCGGCGTGAGTACACAGCCTCAACGTGTGTCTGCGTGGCCCGTGGGTGAGACACTAGGTCCAAAACGTGGGACAGGAATGTGGCAAAGTTGCGCTCCAGCCACTGACCACCAAGTGTAGTCACAAACACAACATAGGCCTGAGGAAGATGGAAGAAAGACCACGAGTTAAGTGGTTGGATCAGACAACGCGGGCTCATATTCTTGTTATGTTTGAGAATTCACCTCACCTGTGTGACCCCCACCCGAACCTCCCTACTGACAGAGCCTCCCCCCTTCAACATCTCTCCTCCGCTCTTCAGGAAGCCAGATCCACCACGCAGAAAGCCTGTGGCCATTAGCTCCAGCACCTCCTCCAGAGTGGCCCGCTTCACGTTCTGACGCATCACTGAGGAAAAACCGCATTGGGACCATGAAGACGACACGACAAGTAGTCGAACATAAACTATACAAATCAACTCTTTAACCTACCAGCTGCTTGTTTGGGCATCAGGGCAGTGGCCATCACTGTCCCCAGCAGTTTGGCCACTGCCACCCGAACACCATAGTTAGATCCTTCCAAGGCTTTGAAACACAAAGTGGCCACGTTCTCCAGTTCTGTGGTCCACATGAATACGGCCTCATTCTGCAGCTCCAGCAGGCACTGATCAGGCAAGACGAATAAAGAATAAAGAGTCCTGTTAGTAAAATCTACATTATGCATGTGCAGGAAACGTGCTTTTTTTTTTATTATAGACCTACCATTGACACAAACATATAGACGCTTAATTGTTGCAATACACTGGCCACACAACTTGCACCATATATAGTACAACTGTCATGATTTCAAAACAGGAAATCATGTTTCACAATAGGGAGGAGATTTGAGTTCAGTACACATGAATGACATAGCAAAAATGCGTGAACATTATTATGTAGTGTCAGTTCTAAGAATCCTCCACTAGTGCAAGGAACCATCACAAACATTCAGCAGGATGAAACATAATAAGAATGTTTCCTTTAGTTTTACCACATCTACAAAAACTAACTTCAGTCACAGCTCCATTAGGCATTTTTCTGAGACCAACCTTTGCTACCGCACAGCGTACAGCCATGGACCTGTCTGTGAGTAGAGAGCGGGCATTCTTGTAGATATCTCTGTGACATGAAGCTGCAGCTCCACCCAGTCCACTGAGCACCTTCTGCAGGCTGAGAAGAATCTCTCCTCTGCCTTGTGACTAGATCAACAAAGTAAAAGTTAAAGCAGAAAGATTAAAATAAATGTCTGTTTCTGAAGATCAAATCTCTTTAGTTATCCATTACTGATCCGTTATATACCAATATACCTATAGACATTGCATTTCCCAACTGTGCACTCTTAAAAGTCATACCTCTGCACTCTTTAATGCCTTCAAAAGATTATTAATGGTGTCCGGAAAGGAGCTTCCCAGCATCCTGCCCATCTTCTCATAAAAAGCTCCAACACAGGCCACTGCAGCACTGCAAGAAAAGAGATTGTATGCATGAAAAAGAAAGTCTACATTATAGTGTGTTAAACAATGCAATGGTCAGATAATAACTTGAAAGTGGGACATCTCTTGAAACTGAATAAGTGTGGGTTTCTTTTTATTCCAGATATTCTAACATGTATAACTTAAATCTACTCTTGAGAACATTTAGGCTGTTTTTTTTATTTCATTTTATTGGTGATAATAGCATAATAAGAGTCCCTCAAAGCTCCAAACACATTATTATTTAAACTGTAACACTGGAGTAAGAGTAGCACAGTGGCTCAGGGGTTAGCAAGGTCTTCAGCCCTGTACCCCACATCCCCTCTCAGTCCACCAGAATCTGGACAGAAATAAGCAGGTATGAAAGAACGATGGATAAGACCCTAAAGTCTGCAGCTTCAATAACTGTTAGATTCTCGTAACACCAGCAAGAAACACAGCATAATATCTGCTCTTGTACACTTAATCCCTGCTTTTAATGAAATGTCACTCTGCAGATTAACATTTGGCTTAACTGCTAATACCTCTGACAGCGGGCCTACGGTATATGCCTGAACTACTGAGAGCACGGCTTAAGCTTATATCTTAATGCAAATGTGTCAAGCAGAATATGTATGTACGCTGTGCTGTGATTAAACGGTATCTTACAGTTTTGTTGGCAAGTACGCAGGTGTGTCATCCTTGCTTTTGATGATCTCATTGCATTTATCCAGAGTCTGAAAAACAGTGAAGGTGTCGCCGATGCTGTAAAGGGTAGCGAGGTTTTTGGCCAGCAGTTTTCTCGTCGGCGGTCCAGGGGCGCTGCTGATCAGCCCCGTCAGCTGCTCCACAAGCTTCTTCTGCTTCTCCTTCACGTCCACCTGCCATTCAAACACACAACGCAGTCACAAACTGCTCTACAAACAAAAAAAAACAACAATGCCAGAATCTGAGTACTCACCCTATTCGCTGCCACAAGCACTTTGTCCAGGAAGCGGAGCCATTCGAAGATGAAGACGGGCCTCTTTGCTTCGGTGATCTGGGCCAAGGCATCTTCATTGAGCAGCAGACTGTGAGCCAGCTCCATGGCGAGGACCTTGTAACACAGTGCTGTACACCCTCACCTCTGCAATGATATAGTAGGGGGGTGTGCCTTATCAGTACATGTCTACATTTGTTTTCTTCAACCCAATCAGACTGTCACACAGAAAGCAGTACACCAGCAGTGGAGTCACTACAGCTGTGGAGACATTTATCTGTCCTTGCAATGACTCTTTAACAGGTTTGTGCAACAGATACAAGTAATTATGAAGTTATAGCTGCTTTGCACGCTTTTAAAATAAGTGTGGGTAAAAAGCAGCAAGCTAAAATGCCAAAGCTGGGTAGCGTTAACACTCTTCTGTCCTGTGTTGACAGCTGTCTGCCTCCAGCTGGTTAGCAACCGAAGCTAGCCAACGTTGGTTCCTACGCGGAAGAAGCTAAACTGCGGCTACACGAGCTGTTAGCTGTCTGTCGACTTCTTTTAAAACATAAAGCTGTTTAAAACAACAACACTTCACTCACCTGTGTGTTGTATTTAAGCATATTGTTCATCCTACCTGTGTTTCGACAACCCAGGGGTGAATGACGACGAGTATCGGTGGTGTCGCAGTGAAGTTAGCCCGGTGTGAAACGTAGGCAATAACGTCCAGGCAATACTGCTTTAACAAAAAATACTTAAATAATGTTCACATTATCTTCATCCTTTTTCACTCAAGTTATCTCTGTGCACGTAAAGTAAAATACCTTCTCTTGAATTATCTATCAAAAGCGCCGGAACTGTATACTCATTCTGTAGCTTGTAGCTACTCGGAATATAAATGCGAACGAACCAAACATCAACGAAGCCAATACAAACCGAACAACCGGATAATTATTTTTAGCGCAGTCGCTTTTATTTTATCCGTTTTTCTCTATTTTACGCGGTCGTAATGTCTGATGAAGAGGAGGACTACATGTCTGACGCATTCCTCAATAAAATGTGAGCGTTTTGTGTTTCTGCTCTTTACAGATTGTCACATTATTAACTAATAAAGCAGCTTATTACTCTTTGTTTCAGTCCTCTAAGATTAAACTTAATGTCAGTTGTGACTATATTCTATATAATTGTATTTAATGTGTATTTTCTTCTCTGTCCTGTTGTGTTTCCGCCAGTGTGGGATCAATAAATCCTATCTTATATTATCTTATTTGTCTAAATCACCCAGTAAGCTTTTTTGTCTTTGCTCTTCTCTCTTGTCAGACCAGATGTGAAGCCAGGTGTCAGCATGGTGAGGCGGGTGAAGGAGGCAATGAAGAAGGAGACACAGCAGAAGGAGACGAACATCAAGAACCGTCAGAAGACCTTCAAGGAGCAGGAGAAGGAGAGCAGAGAGGTTGCTTTACAAAGCTCCATTAGCAATGAGAACAAGGGATTCGCACTTCTGCAGAAAATGGGTTACAAAGCTGGTCAAGGCCTCGGGAAGCAGGGTAAATATCATCATTACTGAATTATTATTATTTTTTTAAATCTGTTTTGCATTTGTTGTGTGTGTTTAAAATGTTCATCTCTGTTACCTCTCCAGGAGCAGGGAGGGTTGATCCAATTCCTCTAAGTATCAAAACCGGTAGGCAATGCGTTGGTGAAGTTTTAAAGTGCATTTGAACAACGAGAGCGGTCCAACTGATGTGTTACAGTCTTCATGTACCTTTTTTTTTCTTTGTATGTGAAACCAGACAGAGGAGGCATTGGAATGGAAGAGGTGAAGAAAAGAAAAGCTGAGGAGGAACTCGAACATTATCGGCAGAAAGTGCGAGCCAAACAACAGAACGAGACCAAATCTCTGGAGGATTTCAGGTGAAGTTTATGAGATGCACTCTGCCGCTTAACACCGTCCTTCCTCCTGTGGTGCAGTTGTTTCGTAGTCTGTGTGTGCAACCTCGTTTTTTTTTTTTTTTTTCATTATTTCAGGTCAAGAGTGAGGACGGAGAGAGAAGAGCGAAAGATTGAAGGAGATCTCAGGAGGAGTCAGCGAGCCTGTGAGCAGCTCGACAGTCAGAAGGTTGGAGGAATTAGGGTTACAGCGACAGTACATCACAGTGCTAATGCTGTTTATTTTATTTATCTCTGTTCAGTTTTTCTTCAGTGGGAATAAATACGAATGTGCCAGGAAAAGTTACACCCACTTGTTTTCAGTAAAGAAGCAGCACTTGTGGTTTTCTGCGTGTGAATCCTTTGCCTGAATCGTCTTTTCAGGGCATCACTGTCCCCAGGGAAGACTGGTACTGGCCTAAAGAGGAGACTGATGACGAGGAAGATGAAGACGACGATAAGGAGGAGGAGGAGGAGGAGGAGGAGAAGGAAGAAGAGGAGATAGTGGAATTAACTGTTAGTATTTAGTTTACCTTGTTTATTTGGTGATATAATGTGTGTGTAATCTCAATATATGAACCAAAATCAGTGTTGTCAAGTGAATGTGTGGTTATATGTCATCAAAAACTTTTAATCCAGAGTAAAATTAAAGAGTTTGATGTGTGCTTCTCTGTTACAGTCCTTTGACAAACTGCACATTATTACGTCCTATCTGAGAGGACACCATTTCTACTGCATATGGTGTGGGACCACCTATAATGGTAAGAGTGATGACAACATGGGGGTAGTTTTATTGCTTTTATCGCCTTTGCTTAAATACATATTTTTTCCTTTTTCACAGATGAAGAGGACTTGTGCTCGAACTGTCCCGGCGATACAGCAGCAGACCACGAATGAACTTTATTAAGTTTATTAAGTGTTTGAACCTGTTTATTAATTTATCATCCCATTTGAATCCGCTGTCCACCTCTGGCAGGACTTCACTGTTTGTCGGTGGAGGTCTTGGATTTTTCTTTGTATTTAGAAATCCTGCGGGAAATGTTTGGATACCTTGTTAATGTTTATATTTTGAAAAGATGTACTAAGATTTTTGAGACATGTTTCAAGAGCATACATGTGTTTTTATTAAATGTTTCAAGAATTAAACCTTTTTGTTTTCTATATTGTTTTATTTTAGGTACTTATAATATAATAAATTACTACTTGACAAGATGTAGGAGGTTGTTTTACTTCCTAAATCTGATATTGCCATTTATTTTACGTGTGCTCTTAATTTATATGGCTCTTAAAATTATGCCATTATTATTATATATATTATTATCATTATTATGTTATTTGATAGCCTAATATTGCTGTTTGACATAACTTAATACATAAAATACATTAAAAAAAAGACTGTCCGAAGGCATTTATTTGTCTGACTGGGAAAGTGGGAACAAAACTGTATCTCTAATCTCTTTAACCAAATAACACACATTTAATTAGTTAGATTACTTTATTTCAATTTTAAGTTATATGTTAACTTCTTTTAATAATAAATTAATTATGTATTATATTTCACAATAATTCACTGAGCCTGCCCTGAAATCGCCTCCCATTTGCTGGACACAATTAAAGTTTCCTCAACTGTTTGGTTTTTTTTTTAGTTGCCAAAACAACTCCACTTCCCATGAGCCTTAGCTGTTCGCGTGGTTCTAAAGCTTTCTGGGAGCTGTAGTCCTTGAACGCAAAAAAATAAATAAAATAAAATAAACAGTTTGGTGAGAGGAAGAACAGGTAGACGTAAACTACAAACATGTCAAGCAGACAATAAAACAAACAAAAAAAATAAACAAATTTGTAGTTAAAATGTAAATAAAACGTTATCAAACAAACGACTCTAACGAGAGGTGCCATGTTGTGTGACGTTTACCGGGAAAACGAAACTTACTACGGGGCGAGGGTTGAACCGAAAGTCGGCTCAGACGTTACGGAGACATGGGAGCAGAGTTTAGGTGAAAGCGGAAAAAAAAAAATATGTAATCGTCTTATTATTATTTTCTTTTTTAATGCAATTTGAGTCGACATCGCTGTTACTGTTGGGGTAATTTTATAATGGAAAACTACGTAGCCAAACTAAACGAGTATGCGCAGAAAAGACGCTCGTTGCTGACATTTGAGGAGGTCGGATCTGTTGGCCCTGACCACATTAAAACGTGAGTTGAATCAATTCTCTGGTGGGATTTACTACCTGCAAAGTCTGTGCAGGATTTGGGGATATCTTGGGAGTAGTTGAATTGTATTTTCCCTATTTTGTTTATAGGATAGTATTCTATATGTCGCTTTAGGGCCATTAAGCGCCCCCTCAGGTGGCACTTTCCACTAAACCAACACACTTTAATCAGCTGTAATCATATGATTTACACGTTGTATACCTTAAGAAGCTTTGTAAGTATTTGCTGTTTTCTGCTCTTGTGGAAATGTGAAAAATAGTGAAGAATATAGCATGTTATGAATGTAACACCACTTAAGAAATGGCTGTAGTAGTGGCCTAAGATGTTGAACCTCAATATTATTTGGGTTTTGATTGATCTGTGTCTGTAGCATCAAGTTTGATATTGAAAAAGAATTGTTTTGGAATCAATTCCCACATCGGGAATCATGTTGACACCAGTAAATAAAGGTTTCAAATGATAACCAGCTGTTAGGGCTGCACGATATGGTAAAAAGGAAATCACATTGCAGTTGTTTTTGCAGATATTATGATTGCGATATGATAAACAATGAATGGGAATTATAATTTCTTGATCACATTTTTGATTTTCACTGAAAAATCTTGATGATATGAAATTTTTTGGGGTCTGTAGTAACAAACAAACCTGTTTTCTTACATCTTGAGTACAAGATTTGTAGGCCTTTGCAGCACTTCATTGTTTATGACACATTTTACCTTCATCAAAACACTACAGCTTCTGCCATTTGGATATTGCACTCGGCCATATTGCAATTTCGATAATATCTCGATTAATTGTGCAGCTCTTGTTCAAATGTAATAAAATAAATGATTATATAAGGGCAGTCCAACACAGTTTACATATGAGGGGATCCAGGACTATGTCACGTTAATAACTTCACCTTCTCAGATTTACCCTACGAGCGGTCGTGAACGGTAAGACGTATCCTGATGGCGTGGGGAAAAACAAGAAGGAAGCCAGACAGAAAGCAGCTGAAAATGCCCTGAGAAGCTTATTGGAGGACCGAATAGATTCTGTAAGACTATTATACAACTTTATTGATTTACTGCACGTGTGAATTTCTGTATTCCATAGCAATGCAAGGCCTATTTAACGGCACACAACATCTTGACGTATATTTGTTTTCATTCTGACAGACAGAAAATGCAGCAGAAAGTTCTCCTGCACCGGTTCATCAGACAGGCATCATTCAAACCAACTATATATGCTGGCTCAATGAATATGGTCAGAGGAACAGGGTGACTATAAGAGCTGTTGAGTCAACAAAACTGGGACCAAATAATGTTACTATGTAAGCCTCCACACTGCATCCTAATTCATTTGTAGTTGTTTGCTCACCTTAAATGCATTAAATAAAGTTTTTGTTTTGCTGTTAGATGCTGCAGCTTTGTGGTTGGTGATAAGGAGTATCCGACTGCCACTGGGAAAACAAAGAGAGAAGCTAAGGAAGAGGCAGCCAAGCTTGTATATCATGAGATATGTGGGAGTAAGACTACAGAGGTAAGTAGTAATACACACCAGTTTCTAATGGTTTAATTCAAGAAAAGTGCAGAGGGAAGGAAATAATGAATTGAAGTCATTAATGTTCAATAGATTTTTCAAATGTTCAACAAGCCACACTTCATGTTTTCTTTTTCCAAGACTGTAGAGGAGAAAAACATCCTATCAAGTCAACCAGAGAAGGAACTGACTCTAAATGTGTCAATCATCTGGTGAGCACAAACCTGTGGCAACACATTATTTCTGTTTGGTTAACAAAGATTTTAATTAGAATCTGATTTGTCTTTGTGTTACAGTGATAAGACAAAGAGTTTGAGTGTAACTAAAGTGGACGAAGGTTTTACGGAGACAAATTTCTGTGGAATCATTAACAACTACTGTCAGAAAAGAAAGCTCTTGCATGATTACGTCTTAGAGAAAAGATGCGGTCCACCACATAACCCTCAGTGAGTATGACCTGAATAGACACTACAGACACTGTATCAAAGCTCTTGATAGATATTAGAGATAAATCTTCACACAATGATTTTTTCTCCCTGCCTACACAGGTTTTTCTACAAATTAGTGATCGACAATAAGGAATACTCTGTGGGAGAGGGCAAGAATGCCAAGGATGCCAAACAGAAAGCAGCTCAGCTGGCCTGTGCTGCACTTAAAGAAGAAAGGTCAGACTGGGACAGTAAGGTAATTCATATTTTATATTGTTTTGATATGATAAAATGTGTTTTTTTAGTAGGCCACCTTGTAGATTGTTAACAGGCCAATTGCATATATTTCCTGAGCGTTTTACTGAAAGGATAACTTTGGTATATTTCAACCAGGACCTTATTTTCTCATGTCGTAACCAGAGCCGCAGTCTCACTCGATACTGGACCAAATTCAAAACTTGTTGTTCCCATTAGTCACTTTGACACAAAAACGCAGGAAAATCCAGGTTGAAAAAGTTGCCCTCAGAAAGTAACCGTCCGTTTTCTACAAAACCAAAGACACCACAGCTTCCCTCGGTTTAAAATTCCTTTCTATAAAACATGTAACCACCATGTCCAATCAGCAAATTCAGCATAATCGTTGAAATCTGGTAAAGGGACAACACTTCAAGCTTTAACAACAGGATTTAAATCAGTTCTCTACCCACGCTGCATACCTCACCATGGTTGTGTATGCAAACACATTTACAATTCGGTGATTGATCATATGACATTTAGGGTGTATTATAGATACTTGGGTAAAGCGAAATAGATTTAAACCTTCCACTCTATTCTTAAGTTGCATGTCACTGACCAATTTTTCCACGGTGCTGCAAGATTTGTAAAATTCCATTATTTTATTGTGTTCTTTAATAAAAATACAATATGAAACATGAAAAAGGGGGGATTTACATTAACTGCACTTTTAATATTATATTTTCAAATGTATCAGAATAAATAGGTAATGAATATCATAGCTAAAATTGGTGAGTCTTCAATAAAAACTGAGGCGACAGTGGTAGGGGAGGTTCTTTTCAACATCTATGGTTTTAAATGTCACAACATGAAAATAGTAAAAGATCCGATTAATGTCAATCAATAACTACATAACATGGTACTGTGTGTAACAGCCGAACACTTCCTTTGTGGTTTCAGCTGTCAGGGTCAGGAGTGTCCGATGATAGTGCGGCCAGGCTGTCCACACCACCAAGCACACTGTAAGTCACAGAGCAGTACAACAGATTGTTTGTTTGTTTGTTTGTTTGTTGTTGAGAATATTCTACTAATGTGTCTCGTATTCTCCAAGGGAGTCCGGTGACACAAAATCAAAAAGCATGCCAACGACTTCAAATGACTCAGTTGTTTTCACCAACTCATCGAATCCTCCCAAAGATCAGGTCTGTTAAGTTAATCTGATACTGTTGAGTTTGTAATGCTCAGTCTATTGCAGGAGTTATATTGAGTTTATTTTATTACCTTTCAGGTGAAGCCAGTTTACTTAACTGAGTTAAAAAGTGAGTTAATACATCACTGTGAGGTTTTTTAGAAAGTCCTGAGGGTCACTAATGTATTCAGTGAGAGTGAACAAGTAAGCAATGCTATTACCAAGAGGGTGTCAAACGTCCACTTAAACTCATTAATGAACTGATTCACATTTGGTGGTCAGAGGTCAAAGTGACACAAGCAGTTTTTGGCCATATTTTAAGAACTGATGACCATATTTCACAATTGGTCGGACATTAAATTGGTGACACTTTTGAGTCGAAGGCCAAAGGTCAGGGTGACCTCAAAATAACCTTGACAAACGCGTTTTTTGGCCATAATTGAAGAATTGATGAAGTTATTATGACAAAATCATCATCTGAATCACATGACAAACAACTTAGTCGTGATTAGCCAAAAAATACACTTTATACCTTTTTATTAAAACCTTTCCAATTATTCACTACTCTTATTTTACGAGTCTGGGCAGACATGGATGTAAACTGCCAGCTGGCACTGAACTCTGAGCTCTTTAGTTTACTGAGAAGTACAGGAGGACTTTAATTATGCTTGAATGTAATTGGCTATATTTTCTAATTTCCTCATTACAAAGGTTCAAAGTCCTGATGTGAAGCCCAGAATAAGGTAAGCCACCTTTTGAGGCCCACTGTAAAGCTACAGTACATAATACTAAGATTTCACCTGATGTCATTTCTTCTTGTCAGAATTGCAGCAAATTTCCAAAATGCCCTCAGAAACAAGGACGACAAAAGTAAAGTAAGAAGATATTAATCATGATATTTTATCTTGTTGGATTTTGTTTAACATTTTAATCTCTATATCATGACTTCATTTTATTCATTGAGGATATAATAACCAATTTCAATGGAAAGAATACAGGAAATAACCAGAATGAGAAAACGTCCACACCATTAAACTCAAGGTATGGAAAATTAAAACACTGATTTACAATATAAGCATGATTTTTATCACTGCTGTGGCTTTAAAGGTCTAGTGTGTAGGATATAGAGGCATCTAGCGGTGTAGTTGCAGATCACTCTAGAGCCAATGTTTGGTTTGTCCCTTCTAGGCTACTGTAAAAGCATGGCAGTTCAACATGACGGACTCCAAGGAAAGCATCTCGCGGCGTCTGTAGATATAAACAGCTCATTCTAAGGAAAGAAAAACACATCAATTCCTATATTCAGGAGATTATACATGAATGGAAACATAGTTAACTATATCATATTCCATTTCTGCCAATAGATGCTCCTAAATGTTACACGCTGGACTTTTAAGTTTATCTATTAATGTACAATCAATCAAGACATTTTTGTATTCTAAAATACTCTTTTAATCCCAACAGGTTTGCATCAGAATATGACTCCATTATGTGCCTAGGCAACGGAGCCTTTGGTGTTGTTTTCAAGGCAAAACAAAAACTGCTGCAGAAGTATTTTGCCATAAAGATCGTCCGCTGCAAAGAGTAAGTCAAGTATGAATGCTGTCTCACTTAGTTTCCTTTTTTAAATGAGCACTGTATAGTTTTTGAAGAAAAAAAGTTGAACGTTTCTTCAACTGAGCCATGTTCTTGTTCTCCTTTTGATTAGAAAAGCTCTACGAGAGGTGGGCGCGTTATCAGATCTCCATCACTCTAACATTGTTCGATACTACACGTGTTGGTTGGAGGATTCAGAATACCAATCAAACAAAGCAGCTGACAGTAGCAGCTCTTCACAGTAAGTCCCATCCACTTAAAAAATCCTTACTCAACTGTACTTTTTTACTAAACATGAGGGCATGTCATGTCACAGCTTTAATGCTCCTACTTTTCTAGGTCAACCGGTGATTCACAGGTGAAGTACCTCTATATTCAGATGGAGCTGTGTGATACCAAAACACTCAGAGTTTGGATAGACGAGAAGAATATTCAGAACGTGAAGAAATCTCTGCGAGACTCCAAGAGAAGAGAAGAAAGTCTAACTATTGTTAAGCAAATAGTCAGTGGAGTCGAGTACATTCACTCCATGAAGCTCATCCACAGAGACCTGAAGGTGTGACAGACAGAGTGAATTAAATCGTAATATTACACCACATCAGTTCTTAATTCCCACGTTTGTTAATTTCTTTCCCACCGATAGCCTGCCAACATCATGTTCGGGCAAGATAGGGAAGTGAAGATTGGAGACTTTGGTCTGGTCACTGCTGAGAACAATGACGATGAGAACCTCATCGAGAGAACATACTACAAAGGAACCCCATCTTACATGGCTCCTGAACAGGTGAGAGGCCCTACACTGAAATCAACTTTATATTCTCCTGTAATATTAAATATTGGTTGTCAAAGGGAGAACTTTGATTCTCTGGCCCAAAACTGCTGGCGTGGTTGGCTCAGGTCGGGATTCAACAGAATGAGATTTTTAAAATATATACAAACAAACTGTTTAACACTATCACCGCCAAAACGTTTGGGTGTTTTTGATATTTTCTGAAATCCAGAAGGTATTAAAATAAAACATTTCTACCTGTACATAGTTGCTATATATATATCATTATCCACACATTCAGTGGACCGCAGTGTGACCTCAGAGCAGCGTGCACAGTGGAAGGAATGAAACAGACTTATATATGTTACAGAAATATTTTACTGGAGTCAAGTATCGATATATTAACCCCATAGGCTTTGTTTTTTAGTCAGGTGACTGAACGATGACCGCACAGGCTGCTCACCTAACCAGCCAGGTGTGTGTTCTTTGTCGGACGGGTGCAGGCTGTGGTTTTATGCAATTCTGCCCACTGTCCTTTGTCCCTGTAACTTTAAGTTGTTCTTTGGAGTTTACTGGAAATTATGGACCCATTTTACAAAGTTTAGCAAGTTGGGAGTGCGTTTTAAAAAACAGACTTTATGATATATTTTACTGCGGTCGACCACAACAATGCTTATTATCCCAAAGCACAACAAAACAGAGACAGTATGATCAATTCATCAAACACCTCTTTAACAAACAGAACATAAACTTGCAGAAATGTGACGTTTTTGGCCAAACTGTTGTTTTTACGACGTCTCTCTCTGCAGATTTTAACAGAGAATCGTTTATAAATGTAAAAAATATTTAGTGCTCTGATAGTGCATAGATATGTTCTTATGTGAGTGTGTTTTTGTAGAGTAGAAAAAAGAGAAAGTATCCATTGCTTCCATGGTTCTGACTCACACAGAATATTTTTGGGCTCAGAGTCAGGCCTGATTTTTTGGACCCAATCAAGGCTCTAATTAAAGGTAACCTGTGGAGATTTTAACAACTACTTGGACTGTAGCGCCAAAGTGCCTTTTGTTAACATTGTGTTCTTGTTTTCTAACAGAAAAGCGGGAAAATATATGACCGGAAAGTGGACATATTTGCTTTGGGGTTGATATATTTTGAACTCCTTTGGAACCTCTCTACTGGCCAAGAAAAGAAAGCAGTGAGCTAGATACTTTACAAAATCATTTTAATGTATTAAATGTTTGCTAGTAATGATCTTTGCTTTACAGATGTCAATTGTTTTTTCTATCTAAGTGTCCCAGTAAGTCATGAGCAATCAGCATCAGCAATTAAATGGAATTCGGCCATCATTACCTATTTATACCTGTGCTTTTCCCACTATGACATGTAAAAAGTATCAATTTGTATCATGCTAATTATGTCTTCTTCCTCCCTTTTATTATTGCATGAATTTTAGATTTGGGAAGATGTCAGAAACAGGAAACCTCCTCAAGGATTCTCATACAATTTTTGTCACGAGGTACACCAGCATTCTTTCTTTTACTTTACACATGGTTTTGAGGGTATGAGGAGTGAAAAAACAGGGGCGTGTCGATGTCTGTGTATAAAAATGTGAAATATCAAGCAGGATAGATGAGTCAAATGTTTGGGGAAAAGATTGACTTTGTTACATTGCCCAAGTAAAGTCAGTTTGAGTGGAGACACTGGCAGCATTTATTGATATTATGAAGAACACAAGATCTGTTTGTGTTTTTTGTTGCAGAACCAAATTATAAAGTCGATGCTGTGTGAGAACCCAGAGGACCGACCTGAAGCAAGTAAACTAAAGATGGATTTGGAAGAGTACACTCGCACACTTTTAATGCATAAAGATATGTGTCGCGACAGTAAGACTGTCTGATTATTACCAAGACTGCACAATGAATCTAACTATTATCGTAAACGCAGTATGACCAAGTGCAGTGTGTGACAAACAGCATGATAATGAAGTACTGTGGTGCTGCAGAGATGCCCTGGCCAACAAATCTTGTTCTCCAGATCTAGAAAAACTTGTTTGTCTGGCACACACACCCCAAACAGATGTCACCTGATGATCTTAATAGTTTCTTTCAATTTATGTGCAGTTGCAATATCTATCAAAGTAACCGGCAAAAGGATCAGTTATCACTAGCTCTGCCGATTATTACATGCTCAAGGAGAGCAACATGAACAGAAAAGAAATTTGTTTAACCAGATTTTAGATTTATTAAGCAAATAGGAAGAAAATAAAGAAGAAACGTTTTAGAGTTTGCTGCCTAGAGACACTGGCTAACACCCACTCAAATACTGCAGAAGGTATAATGAATATTTTTGAATTAACAGGCTGTTTAGTTTGGCGTCCTTGTGGGGCGTCCTTCTTACGGGGGAAGGTGTTATGACCAAAGTAGTTTTTTGTTTACTTGGCTCTTTGTTTGTAGTTTCATGAAGCTCCCAATCAACTAACTCCTGCTATCCAATCAGTTGTACCTGATCCACCCTCACTCTCTTTCTGTCAGCCGGAGTCCTTGCACGCCACTTTGTTTGTTCTTCATTTCCCTTTTTATTTACTCAATAAATCTAAATCTGATTTTCTTTTTTCATGTTGCTTCGTAAAACAGCGATTATGTGAGCAGACGGTGATCATTTTGCAGCACGTGACTATTTATCCAGCATTATATTCCATAATATTCGTATCTTGAAATGTTCGATTGCGAACAGGATTGTCACGTTTAATAACTGATGAGCTGATGTGACAAAATGTATAATTATGCACAATTTAATTTAAAAGGAACATAACCTTGTGCATTTATGCAACATTATTCACTTTTAACAAATGATCTTGTCCTGTGTAATTTAGTTGTCAACTGGTACTGAAATAATGTATTCTAAACTGAAAATGGTTAAATGTGTTTAAAGAGATGTCACTTTACACCCGGTGTCTTGTGATGAATAAGCTGAATGGAAAAATAAAAACATTTGTAACTAGGGTGTAATAGTCATTCATCTTCTGTAAAGTTTGTATATGTGCTGTTGTGTTTTGTACAATTTGTGAATTTTAGTGGGTGCTGGAAGATGTGGAGCTTTGTTTTTACATTAAAATGAGTCGGCACAGGAAAAACGCCTTTGAGTTACCATTATTTACATTTTACTTTATTGCAATGGGCTGGAGACAATAAACTGTTCTGTTCCCAGGAGCCTATACAATTACTGTACTGTCTACTGCAATCACAATCACAACGTTGATGGTTCATTTGAGAACAATACATCAAGGTGTGGTATATTGGGTTCTGATTCATATGAGTTTGAAAGGAAATTTAGAAAATATATATAAGGTTAAGAGCTGATATCTCTTTGATTTGGAGGGCCCATCCCTACACAGCTTGGTGCCCTGTGGTTACAGCAGTGGGATCACACTCCTGCTGAGTCCTGAGACCATCACTGAAACCTGACTCATCCCATACAGGAGGTGTAGTTTTATATTTGTGCCACCGCCCTGAGAAGTTTGTGCACACCACGTGATGTTACGGAAATTACGTCTCTGGAAATCGAAATTTATGTGAATGAAGTACAGAGAATACGGATATGCGCATCACTTTTAAGAGAGAAAAAAGCGAGATGGGAAAATAGATCAGAGATTTGTCATTTATGATGGAAACTAACACTACAAACTACGTGGCTGAACTAAACGAGTACGCACAGAGAACCCGCTCTGCGCTTTACTATGAGGACCGTGGCTCTGTTCGCCCTGACCATGATAAGACGTGAGTTGGATGCATTTCTGTCACTGGTGTATTTTACATAGCTTTTTTTTTTTTTTTTACATTCTGAAAAAGTCCTGGTGCACTGAAACTGAAGTGCTTAATAGGTTAGAGGTAATTCCCTAGGATGGGTGATGATGGCAGTAATGGCAAGGGTGGTGGTAGTGATTGTTCAATATTAAACCCATAGAAATAATCAATACGTTTTAGGAGGAGGCCTTTATTAAAAATCTAAAATAACTTATGCGTCAGAGACAACAAACTGAATATAGAATAGAGATTTGAGAATGCCCATAAGGACTTGTTATTACTTTTTACCCACTGGACAAAATGCTACTTTTTTTAGGTACAAAGTCCTTCGATTGCAGCAGTTAACATGCCTGAGAGTGACCTGCTTGCTGGCTCTGGATCAGTTATTCTCTTAATACCTCATAATCGTACACAGTGTGAGTACTGTGTTACAGTTTCAGCCTATGAATGTGTCTGTGGATATCCTGCTGGAGTCCCACAGTATGACAGGCTGTAGTACTGTACAGATTTAATTTAATGAACCTGAACTGCACCAAAATCATTAACTTTCTTTTTATAATAAAGATTTGACAATTGCTCTACAGATTCACCCAGAGGGCAGTCCTAAATGGTAAAGTCTATCCTGATGGTGTGGGGAAGAACAAGAAGGAAGCCAAGTTTAATGCAGCTAAAAATGCCCTGAAATGCTTGTTGGAGAATGAACCACAAGACTCAGTAAGATTATGTTCCTGCTGTGTTTCATTAGACCGAGTTAGATTGTTGGTTTAAAAAAGTCCAGTCATACTTTAGGCATATCTTTTTGTAGGGTGTCATATTCATCATGCATCATTTCAAAATGGTACCTTTTTTATTTTCAAGACTGCAGGTGAGAGTTACGGTCATACATCAGCCCAGCAAAGCGAGGAACTGAGTGTTTCTGATATCTGGTAAGTAAATCCCAACGGCAATGCACTGTTTAATTCTTCATCAGTGTGACGTGCTACTTGTTATTTACAGTGATAGGATAAGAAGCGTCAGCGTGAACTCGCAGGTTTACAGAGATCAACAGAAACAAACAGACACAAATTACATAGGAATTGTCAACCAATACTGCCAGAAAACAAAGCGCCTCCATAAATTTGTTGAAGAGAGGAGATGCGGTCCAGCTCATAAGCCTCAGTGAGTATGAACTTTAACCTCTGTATCCTGAATAAACACTACAGACACTGTATGTAGTATGTTAGCTCTTGATTCATATTTAGTTGTAAACAATATTAAAAATGTTAATATAATAATCTAAACTGTTTCTTCCTTTTCAAAACACGACACAGATTTTTCTACAAATTAGTGATCGACAACCCGGTGGGTGAGGGTCAGACTGCCAAAGAAGCCAAACAAAATGCAGCTCGGTTGGCCTGGTCTGCTCTTCAGGAGCAGTCAGACCGGGACAGCAAGGTATTTCATATTTTCTATGATGACACGCAGCAACGGGCCGCAGGTCAGATTCTAACCCTGGGCAGCTGCAGCAAAGACTCGGCCTCGGTACATGGGTTGCCAGCTCTACCAACTGAGCTATCCAGGCGCCCTCATATTTTCTACTTTATATCATCTATTAGACACTCAGACACCAACGCAGTCTAATACAACAGTCCTACTCTCACTGATATAAGTGGGGTGGACAAAATAGTAGAAACACCTGTATAACACAGTGCAGTTCAACAGCTCTGCAAACTACAGCCTCCAGAATGATCATACAGTTGAATCAACACCTCTCTATAACAGTTTAAACAAAAGTTAAATAGTATAACCTGCATGAAAGTATGATTTATGGCAGGGCTGTTGAATTAGACTTGATTGAAAGATTGGAAAGTTTGAAAAGTGTCTTTAGATAACTTCTGTTATAACAAAAATTGAATTGAACTGAATATGGATACACTTGGTGACTGCATCAGAGTTAGCAATTAAATGACAGGAATAGCTGAGGAGCTCAAATGATCAAAGGGAAGAAAGCGAGAATGTCATGTAGGGCACCAGGGAAGTTTATAAAGTGGGGCTGGGAAGGCCCATGCCACTGAAGATGATTATTATGTCCCATAACAGACGTGGTGGTATGGGGTGTCCATGATTGGTCACACCAGGAGGCGCTTCCCATAGTGAGATACCGAACGAAGGTTTGAAAGAGAACTGATAGTTAAAAGAAAAATCCATCCTCTGATATTCTGCTTACTCTGTGTGAGGAGACAGCGACAGAGTAGTAGTAGTGTAAAAGCAAGAAATTTCTGCGAATGCTATACCACTCCAAAAGACAATATACTACGTAGCTCTTTTGGTGTGTCGGACACATTTTATGTCCTAGTTCAAAGAGTATACAACTTCATAATCAGAGCAGTGTTCAGATTTGTAATCCATTTTATTCTTTTATTCTCTAAGTCTGCCGTCAAATACAAGAACATGGGAAATTGTCAGAATGAGACATCGACCCCTTCGAGGTATGAAAAAGCAAAACAAACAAATCATTTGGAATATAGCTTGTGTGTCTTATACTGACATATCTGAAACCTCTCTCCCAATAATTTATGTTCAATAAAGAAGACAGAAGAAGTTCTGTGTTTTTGACCTTTTTGCCTAAATAATTGTGTTAATTTCAACAGGTTTACGTCCGACTTTGATCCCCTGAAGCGTCTTGGCAAGGGAGGATTTGGTTGTGTTTACAAAGCACAACAGAAAGTGCTGAAAAAGGATTACGCTGTAAAGATTGTCCCCTTTGAAGAGTAAGTATGCAGTAGTAAGTAAGGGTAAGTAGTAAGTGTGCATTGTAGTGTGTGCAGTATTTGTCCAAGTACTTACTGATTCATTTTATTTTTCCCTTTTGTGTCAGGAAATCTCTCAGAGAGGTGAGGACATTATCAGAACTCCTTCACCCTAATATTGTTAGATACTACACATTTTGGATGGAGGATTCAAAATACCAAGATACCAACAATTTACCAAGAGGAGGGGACATTTCAGCTGACAGTTACACCTCATCCCAGTAAGTCCCATACGCTCTTAACTTTTTATTTCAAGTTAAAGGTGAGTAATTAAATAATTTTTATCTCCTTACTTTTCTAGGTCTACAGATAATTCATCATCGTCCTCTAAGTACCTCTACATTCAGATGGAGTTATGTGACACCAAAACTCTCAAAGCGTGGATTGATGAGAAGAACACTCAGTCTCTGGCAGACTCCAAGAGGAGAGAAGAAAGCCTAGGCATTGCTCAACAAATAGTTAGTGGAGTCGCATATATTCACTCCAAGAAGCACATCCACAGGGACCTTAAGGTAAGACCAGATACTACAGAGGGTGGTTGAGGCAAAGCAGGAAGAGAAGTTGAATGTATTAAACTTCAGGTATATGGGCATTTGATATTTCTTCTGGTTAACTCCGATGAGGCCTCGCCAGCACCCTGCGACAGATCCTCACACAAGCCAGTAGTGAAGCCTGTCAGAGAATGAAGTGTCTTGAGCAGTATATTGTTCTGCTGCTCACTGGTACAGCACCACATACTAGTTGTTCCCTTCTCCACCATTTACTAATTAACACATGAGTCATTCTGGTTATTAAGTATTGGGCTAGATCTTGACCTCACCAAGCTTCAAGAGGTGGCGGAAATGTGCTGCTGCTCTCCAGCTGCTTTAAGTGCGGTGTGTAGTTTAGTACAGCTTAGACTTTTTTCCTTGTTACCAAAATAATTTTTCAGTCATTTATGTGCAGCGGAGTATTGATGAGGAGACAGCTGATAGGGCCAGGCAAAACAATCTAAAGTAAGAATGGAGATGGACGGGTATATATACTACTGATTAGGGAAATGGGAAGCAATGGGTTATAGTAGTGCGAGAAGAGGACTTAAGTACACTACATTAGATTTACCAAAAGAAAAAGAAAAAGAACAAATGCCTCCTTAGAATAATGTCACATAATCGTTTTGTACCTAGAAATGATCAACTAGATAAACACAAGGCTGTTGGTCAATAGACCAATTCATCTGCCCAACATAAGCCACATGCTAACTGTTCAAGTTCACTGGTTCATGCGTTACTGCCCATCATGTAATGGGCTACATGTTTATTTGTTAAATTCTGTTTTTGTTATCAATGGTAAGCCTGACAACATCCTGTTTGGACTGGATGGAGCAGTGAAGATCGGGGACTTCGGTCTGGTCACCAGAGATGATGATGATGATGAGGATGACTTAGCTTTGATGGAGAGAACAGAGGACATAGGAACCACAACTTACATGGCTCCTGAACAGGTGAGATGGTCTATACTGACAATAACTTTTAGTTCTTCTTTATTACATTGGTAATAAATGTTCTTATCATAGGCTTGATTAGGGAGACTGCTCCTGGATTTCCTGAAGCCCAGCCTTACTTGTCTGAGCTGTAAGAATAAGAAACATTAGCATCAAATATGTTACAACATTTATGCCATCAGACCATTATTTTACAACTTAACTGACAATTTAAACACCAAAAACTGAGATGAAAGCTGAAGCTCCATTAAACACATGAGCATAACTAGTTAATCTATCATAACGATGAATGAAAGGATAAGATCTGGCAGCTTTTGTCAGTTCTGTTTTTTTCTGTCACAGAACAAGGAGAACTACGACCGAAAAGTGGACATATTTGCTCTGGGGTTGATATACTTTGAACTTCTTTGGAAAGTCTCTTCTCTCCACGAAAGAGGAGTCGTGAGTCTTTTATAAACTGAACCTAACATTGTGTGTAATTATTAACGTGACACAGAACTTGCCACGACAGTGTTACCATATTAGGCCTATGTCTATTACAAATAAGAAACCAGCAGTATGGTACATAGTAAAAGCAATGCACTGTAGATATAATGGAACTTGTTTTATTTTTCTTGTAATAATTATTTGATATTCAACAGAGCAGCATTTGATTTAATATTAAACTCTAGGCTAACTAACAAATTCTTTCATCCTATTTTCCTTTATGAATACCAGGTTTTGAGAGAAGCCAAAAGTCAGAAGTTCCCTGAAGAGTTTTCACTGACGTTTCCCCAAGAGGTAGATTGTCATATTCTTATTATCCTAACTGATAAACTTTTCCCTCAGGATGCCAGTTAGTCATTATGGAGGTCAACAGAGTAGCAGGGAGCCTAACATACAGGTATTTGCACTGTTACAATAGCTCTCCGAGGCCTGTAAATATACAGGTAGCTGTTACAACATGCTGGGAGTTACTGCCTATCACAGCTTATCCTGTACCCATGGGTAAGCTGCAGGGTCGTCTATCTGGAACCACCATTCCTCAACATTTCACTCCCTTAATCCTGGAACGTCTCCTGCCACCTCCTGCAGCTGGTGTGTGGTGAAGGTGTTCTTTCCCCAACCATCGACCTTTCTTCTCAGCCCCCTCTGCCAGTTCTTTCTTTGTCTTCTTCAGCCTTCCTCCTGTCACTCTTGCGGCCCTCAGCAGGTGTGCGGTTGACAGCCCCACAAAGCGTTGGCATCAGACTTCCCCTGGGTAGATTTAGGGTGGTCAAGCAGCACAGTATGCTTTTGTTATGCTTTGGGTTAGGGTTGGTTGGTTAGGGAGGATTGTGACCATATTTCTGGTCAGTCACTGAATTGGTGACATGGTAATTCTAGGTGTTTTTGCAGATTACTTTGTAAAGGCGTACAACAGGATAATGTTTTCATCTCAGCACCTGCTTGTAATTATCACCTGTACTCTCCCTCTTTTTGCCTTCTGTTAACTGGCGACTTTCAGTTAACGTTGCTGAAAGTCGCCAGTTACCAGGGTCACTTTTTCCACCGAAACACTGGTGAGCTGCAGGACACAAATACAGCTGGAGGAATTGGGATGATTAGTGCACCATTCTGCGTTTTGTCTATTACAAGACTTCTGGTGTTTCCATTCGGGGATTTTTCCAGTGTCTCTGCTTTCTGACTTTTTTAATTGGGTCGTATTTTAATCCTGCACTGCGTTTTAAACAGAACTTCTGCTGTGTCAAGTCTCTTCAGCCTTTCTGGGATGCTTTTCTCTCTTAAAAACAACAAATACTGAACATGACATAATGATGTGACATCGCAGGCAACCTGCCGCCTGCTATCCCCTGCGGTTGCCTTATCAATACCACTGTATTTCATTACTGGTTATCGCAACAGCCATAAGTATGACAGCATGTATTATTGTTGGTAAAGAGACCTCAATAACAGTTCTTTTTGTTGTTTTTTTGCAGAACAAACTCATTAAGTTAATGCTGTGTGAGAATCCAGAAGACCGACCTGAAGCAAGCACACTGAAAGCAGAGCTGGAAACGTGGACTTAGATATTCAATGCACATACATAGGAGCATATGTAAATACATAGCTATAGCAAAGGATGGCAGTTTGAGGTTTTCTGTTTTACTCAAGGACACTTTAGCAATGCAATTAATGGACAACTTAAAGGGGGAACCTGATATCATGAGTTTTATAATCAGGGAATGAAACATGAAATCTAAATATATTTTAAATATAGTTTAAAAAGCTAATTTTCACATAATCCATTAGCTTTTGTTCTAAATAATAATGTGCCATGTGATTTCTGTGTCCACGGTTGACATTTTATTCTCTGCTGTCAAATGTATTTAAAGTGATGTCACGCTACAGTCTTTGTTTTGTATTGCATATATTAATAATGGTTATCTGGGGTAGAATGGCCAAGATAAAATAAGATGAGATGTTTCTTTATTGATCCTCCGTAGGAGAAATTCAAATTTGACACAGCAGCACCGGGGAATGTAGGACAAAAAGTACAGAAGTGTAAAAGTACAATAAAAAATTACATAGATAAGAAATAATAAGAACATTATGAAATATTATAGAAAAGACTATAATGAAAAATATATACACTATATGCAATATGCAGTACGACTAAACTATTCACATACGTGCATATATAGAGCTGAGTAGTGACAGCTGTAAGGCTGAGGGAGCAGCACTGAACTGCTGGAGAGGGACCGAACTCACAGCGCTCTTTACCCCACATACAACTGTTGTTTTCAAATGATCTTGTCCTGGTTAATTTAATTGTCAATTGGTTTTTAAATAATGTATTCTAAACTGAAAATGGTTAAATGTGTTTAAAGAGATGTCACTTTACAGTCTGTGTTTTGTAATGAATAAGCTGAATGGAAAAATAAAAACATTGTTAACAAGGGTGTAATAGTCATTCATCTTCTGTAATGTTTGTATATGTGCTGTTGTGTTTTGTACAATTTTTGAATTTTAGTGGGTGCTGGAAGATGTGGAGCTTTGGTTTTACATTAAAATGGGTCGGCACAGGAAAAACGCCTTTGAGTTACAATTATTTACATTTTACTTTATTGCAATGGGCTGGAGACAATAAACCAGGTATCGTCTAATCATCTGTTTTGTTGTAAATTCTCTCTTCCAGCTGTGAAACTGGTCTGTAGGCTGCTACCTGAATTTGCTTAATGAAAAGCAAGTGCAAGTTTGCACTGTTTGACTGTAAAAGTAATCTTATACATTTTCCTTCTTACTTGTCTTTATTTGCATATTTGGTGTTGAGGTAATCCAAAAGTAATGGACAGTTACGTTACTTTAATGTGATACTAGGATGAAGTTAGTGACTACATTTTTAACAAGTAATTAGTAATTGTATCAGATTATATTTTTAAAGTAACCCTCCCAACCCCTGTGTGTACAAGGTGCCCCTTTTATCAATTTTGCCCCGACCCTGAAACATTGTGTGCGCACCACTGGACAGATATATACCACAATAATAACTGTAGTCAGTGATAATGAACAACACATTTCTGATATTCAGCAGTCGTTTACAGTAAGTAAATAAATACAGTAAATTAATTGGTGCCCAGTTTCATTTTTAAATCTTCCTACAAAATAAAAACCACGTGACTTTCCGTGAATGACGTTCATCTGCGGAAATAGAAACTTAAAGGTTTCTGAAATCAGCTGAATCGAAACAGAGCGCAGATAAACGCAGGACAAGGAACAGAGTGAAGACGTGAAGGGAAAAGAGAAAAGATTTTTGCATTTATGATGGAAACTGGAAACCACGTAGCGAGATTAAACGAGTATGCACAGAAAAGACGCTCTGTACTGTGCTATGAGGACCTCGGCTCTGTTGGACCTGCACATAATAGAATGTGAGTTTAATCCATTTCTCTTACCTGTGGATTTTACATACCTTTGTATTGATATATATGTATCCTGCCACAGTCGTGCCCCTTCAAACTGGGAGTACTTTTAGGTAAGAGTGTTAATTATTAATAGGGTGGTGGGTCAATACCAAGGTGAATACCTACAGAAAAACACAGCAGGTATATGAGAGTAAGGACCTGTCACACCTTTCTATTCACAGCAGGGAGAGATCTTTCTCAGGTAAGCTGTTTTTCAGAGATAGGTGAATGGGTGGAGCACGACAAGGCAAGGCCATACTGATTTTTTGAAAGAACTGAAAGTGAGTTGATAAAGTCCTTTAATTGCAGCAGATAACATGGCTGAGATGACCTGCTTGCTGTCTTAGGATCAGCTATGCTCTTTGGTTTGTAAAATCTTTACTTGTAAAGTCAGTTGTGGTCAGGTAAATGTGATAGGAGATGTATAAAGTTTACAGGAGATGTATAAAGTTTACAGGAGATGTATAAAGTTGACATGAGTAAATACAAATACCTCAAAATGTATGTATGTAATAAATGTTACATTTTCACCCTCATGATGTAATCACAACTGAACCAATCTTTACTGTGTGGATATCCTGCTGGAGTCCCACAGTAAGACAGAGTGGATGATTATTGCCTCCTAGAGGCTGAATGTGGTAGTGTACAGATTCATTTAATTCAATGAACCCCAGCCACATTATTTCCCATCAACTTTCCTGTAACGTTACAATAAAAATGTGATTATTGCTCTACAGATTCACCCAGAGGGCAGTCCTAGATGGTAAAGTCTACCCTGACGGTGTGGGGAAGACCAAGAAGGAAGCCAAGCAAAGTGCAGCTAAAAATGCCCTGAAATGCTTGTTGGAGAACGGACATCAGGACCCATCGGACTCAGTAAGATTATAGTTCCTCTTTGCTTCACTAGAGGTTACTGGATCGACCCCCTGTGGGTTTACAAGACACTAAAAATTCAGTTGCAGTCATCAAACATTTCATTTCATTACAAAATTACAGATTATAGATTTGTTTTTTGTGGTGGTGGTAGAGTGACAGGAAAGGGCGTAGAAAGAGGGCATGACATGCAGCAAAGGGCCACAGGTCAGAGTTAAACAGGCCGTTGCAACAGGGGCTCAGCCTTGGTGCAATGGGTGCCAGCTCTACCAGGTGAGCTACCAGGACTCCCCATACAGCTCGTTCTTAAACAAAATATTCAGCTTTTTCTCATTTGGACACAATAGGTTTGCTACAAAAAACTTTCCTTTCCTCTGTCTCTCTTTAATGTTTATTTGTTATTATCTTGACAGACAAAAAATGCAGCAAAAGCTCCCGCTGCACCAGTTCATCAGACAAGTACCAGTGACATCAACTACATATGCTGGCTCAATGAATATGGTCAGAAGAACAGGGTGTCTATAAAGGCTGTGGAGTCTCTGGGAGCAAATAATGTTACTCCGTAAGTCTCCAGACTCTTAGCTATTTTGTCACAATTTTAAAAATGCATAAAATTAATTAAAGTTTTTGTGCTATTAGATGCTGCAGCTTCGTGGTTGGTGGTAAGGAGTATCCAGTGGTCACTGGGGAAACAAAGAGGGAAGCTAAGGAGGAAGCAGCCAAACTTGTATATGATGTGATACATGGCAGTAAAATGGCAAAGGTGAATAATATACAACAGTTTCTTATGCTTAAAAACGCATTGTGTCGTGCCACAGCTTAAAATTTTACTTTTTTTTATTTTCAAGACTGCAGATGAGAAGTCCATCCATGCATCAAATAAAGAAAAGGAGGAATTCAATCTTTCTGATATCAGGTGAGTAAATCTTAACAGTTATTAATATAAGTTAATTTTCATGGGGTTATTTGTTTCATTTTCATGTTGAAATGTTACTTGTTTCTTTCAGTAATAAGACAAGAAGCCTCAGTGTGAGCTCCGACAACAGCTTTACAGAGACAAATTACATAGGAATTGTCAACCACTACTGCCAGAAAACAAGCAGCTCCCATAAATTTATTGAAGAGAGGAGATACGGTCCATCTCATAACCTTCAGTGAGTATGAACCTGAACCTCTGTGACCTGAATAAACACTACAGACACTCTATGCTAACTCTTGATTGATGTTCAGTAATAAACTATATTAAACCGTTTACCTAATGATCTGAAGTATTTCCTCCTTTTTAAAACCCAACACAGATTTTTCTACAAGTTAGTGATAAACAATAAGGACTACCCAGTGGGTGAGGGTCAGAGCATCAAGGAAGCCAAACAAAACGCAGCTCGGTTGGCCTGGTCTGCTCTTCAGGAGCAGTCAGACTGGGACAGCAAGGTATTTCATATGTTCTACTTTAAATCATCTAATAGGCAGTCAGTTTTCACTAGTTTATTAGATACTGCTAGCAAAAGTAATGCAGTCTAATACAGTAGTCCTGCCACAATCCCACCAAACTGTCAAAGGAACATCAATAACAATCAGAATAGGAGCAATATGTTTAGTCTAACCCAAAGAAGAAGTAGGCAAAGACTGTGTGGGGGACGTTAATGGTACTTGTGTGGCAGAGTGAGACCTCTTACTGTCTCCGTCTCTCAACTTCGGTGTGTTCTTTGAGAAAAAGTGAGCCCGTCTCTGTCTCTGTGAAGTTCAGTCCCTGTTCCTCATACTAACAGGTAGCAGCCGATCTCAACCCCAGCTACTTTTGAATTCCACTCAGGTGAAATTTTACATTCAATAATTATGTCTAACATTGTGTCAAACACATTCTCTGTGCATTTTAGGTGTCCTTCAGATCAACAGTGTCCGAAGATGGTGCACCACCTGTGCTTTCAGCACGATCACCTACACTGTGAGACACTTATTGAGATCAATAGGAGAACAGACCGTGGAGTTAAATACTGAGAAAGCTGTACTCATGTCTCTCATTGTATTCCCTCTAGGGAGTCCCATGAATCATCATCACAAAGCATGTCAGCGAGCACAGGTAGCTCAATAATATTCGCAGATACATCAAACCCCTCCCAGGCTCAGGTAAATTAAATAATTAAATTTAGATAATAATGTTTATTGTTTATAATATTTGAAATTATTTTATTTTATTTGGAACACTGTAAGAATTAACCACTTTTTTTTAAATTGTAGATGTCCTTCAGGTCCACTGCATCTGAAGATGATGCACAATCCAGGTTGTCAGCTTCACCGTTCATTGACTCGTATAGTATTTAAACATATTGTACAGTTTGATAATGAAAATGCTTAACTCTTGTTATGTTCTCCTAGGGAGTCTCATTCATTGTCACAGAGCGCGCCAACTAGCTCAGGCGTATTCACTGATTCATCAAACTCTTCCAGTGATCAGGTCTGCACTTTTTTACCACAATTTAAAATCTGTGATAGTTAAAAAAAACAAAAAAACAAATGTTTTCTTATCTTCTGCTTAGAAAGAGAGAGCGCAACAGAACAGTAGTAGTCTTATAAGAGAAAACGTCTCTATTGAGGGGAGTCGCTCCAAAACAATGTACTGTTTGGCTGTTTTGATGTAGCAGATGACACCTTGTATGTGCACGTTGTTAAAGAGGATACAACTACAACGATTTTAATCTATTTTATTCTTTTATTCTCTAAGTCTGCTGCCCAAAACAATAATATGGGAAATGTTAAGAATGAGACACCGGCCCAGTCAAGGTATGAAAACGATATTCATTTGAAATGTGTGTTTTTTGCTGATATGGTCTTAAATCTCTTTCCCAGTAATTTATTTACAATCAAGAAGACATTTCTGTTTTTGCCTTTTTGTCTAAATGTTAATTTCAACAGGTTTACGTCAGACTTTGATCCCCTGAAGCGTCTTGGCAATGGAGCATTTGGTGTTGTTTACAAAGTACGTCAGAAACTGCTGAAAAAGGATTACGCTGTAAAGATTGTCCTCTGTGAAGAGTAAGTATGCAGTAGTAAGTAAGTGTAAGTAGTAAGTGTGCATTGTAGTGTGTGCCAGTGCTTTGTGTACTGATTCATTTTCTTGTTCTCCTTTTCTGTCAGGAATTGTCTTCGAGAGGTGGGGACATTATCAGAACTCCTTCACCCTAATATTGTTAGATACTACACATTTTGGATGGAGGATTCAAAATACCAAGATACCAAGAATTTACCAAGAAGAGGGGACATTTCAGCTGACAGTTACACCTCATCCCAGTAAGTCCCATACGCTCTTAACTTTTTATTACAAGTTATAGGTGAGTAATTAAATTATTTTTCTCGTCTTAATTTTCTAGGTCTACAGATAATTCATCATCGTCCTCTAAGTACCTCTACATTCAGATGGAGTTATGTGACACCAAAACACTCAGAGTGTGGATTGATGAGAAGAACACTCAGCCTCTGGCAGACTCCAAGAGGAGAGAAGAAAGCCTAGACATTGCCCAACAAATAGTTAGTGGAGTCGAATACATTCACTCCAAGAAGCACATCCACAGGGACCTTAAGGTGAGCATTTGATATGTCCTCCGGTTTATACTGTCAGCAACCTGAGACGAATCTTTGATCATTGATGTAATCATGCTGACCGTTTAGATTTGATGCTGGTGTCGGGTACACAGATACCCTTTTTTAAATCTTTTTCATAAGTGAGGAGCTACATTTATTTATTTATTTCAATTTCTGTTTTTGTTTTCAATGATAAGCCTGCCAACATCCTGTTTGGACTGGATGGAGCGGTGAAGATCGGAGACTTCGGTCTGGTCACCAGAGATAATGATGACGAGAGAACAGTGAACAGAGGAACCCCACTTTACATGGCTCCTGAACAAGTGAGATATTGTCAATATCTTTTAATTCTGTATGTTATTGTGGTAACAAATATGTTCTTTTAATGGCCATAATTATGGATTTCCTGAAGCTCAGGCTCACCTGCTATGTAACATTATTTCAAAACTCAATCGTTGATCTAAGCAGTAAAAATGGAGCAGAAAGCTAAAACTTAATTTACCACATGAGCATAACTAGTTAATCTATCATGACAATGAATGAAAGGATAACATTAGGCAGCTTTTGTCAATACTGTGTTCATTTTCTATCACAGAACAAGGAGAACTACGACCGAAAAGTGGACATTTTTCCTCTGGGGTTGATATACCTGGAACTCCTTTGGAAAGTTTCTACTGTCCACGAAAGAGTAGATGTGAGTCTTTCATAAACTGAACCTAACATTGTGTGTTATTATTTAAGTCTGACAAAGACTCGCCACAACAGTGTTACCATTTTATGTAGACCTGTGTCTATTATACAGTAAGAAACTAGCTAGCATACACCAGTAGTTCTTTTCAGTATTCTATATACCAAAATAAATGTAGATGCAGATACTGTAGGATGGAACTTTTTTATGTCTTGTTTTAGTTGTTTTGTACATATTTGCAAGCATAATTTGAATTATTAGTACATTAACTAACATGTTTTTATCATTCTTTTATCATTGCATGAACACCAGTTTTTGCATAAAGCCAGATGTCAGAGGTTCCCCAAAGAATTTTCACTGACCTTTGCCAAGGAGGTATATTACTATATTCTATTTATCCTAACTGATCACATGAAACAGTATTTCCCACAGTGTGCCAGTGCATATGTTGGAAATACTGTGGAGTGGAGCTTCAGCAACATTATGACAGCATTTATTCCTGTTGGTATAAAGACTCAGTAGCAGTTTTTTGTTGTTTTTTCGTCTCAGGAGAAAATCATTAAGTCAATGCTGAGTGAGAAGCCAGAAGACCGACCTGAAGCGAGCGAACTGAAAGCAGAGCTGGAAAAGTGGGCTCAGATGTTCAACACACAGAAAATGTGTCAGGAGAATGTAACTATGTAATTATCACAAGGAACTGTGATAAGTAGTGAGAGCGTATGAGAATCTGTTTGTTCTGATGCCTGTGGTGTGATGAAATGATCTGATATACTGTTATTAACATACTGTACTTATAGCGCTTTAACCTGAGGTCCATCGAAGCTCTTCACAAGGCCTCACACACCTGTGGCACTGGATGGTGTATGTTTTGCTCGAGGACATACAATTTATGAACAGTTTATAAATGTTACCTAATATTATGTGTTTTTATAATGAAAAAGGGAAAAGGGAATGAAACATGAAATCAAATTGTATTGTGATTTTAAAAAGCAGCCTTTGTTCTAAATAATCTTGAGCGGTAAAATCTGTGAACAGATTTATTTTTTATTCTATGCTGGAAACGGTTAAATGTATTTAAAGTTATGTCACATTACAGCCTTTATTGTGTACTGAATACGTTAATTATGCTTATCTGGGGTAGAAGGGTTATCTACATGCTAAATGTGAAAACGTGCTTGACAGCAACATATGACGTTAATGTAAATCTGATGGTTATGTATGTAACTGTAGTTACTTACTGTAACTAGATAAACAGATGAAGAATATGTATTTGGTGCTGTCATACAATGTGGATTAACATCAAGATTGTTTTTGTTTTTTCTTAAGTTGAATTAAACTTAGCTTTTTACCCAGCTGCCTCATGTTGCTTTCAGTTGAAAATTCGCCTTTATTTTGTACTGACTATGTTAATAATGGTTATCTGGGGGGGAGTGATCATCATGTTAAATGTAAATATACACACAAACATATAATATACTGTACATGCAGACAGTATTATAGCCATTCATAATTTGACTTTTTCTGTTTGGATTGATGAATTTAAACCATGTGAGAGGCTGTTACATTAGGATCCTTGTGCAATATTTATAATAGTATTTCTGTCCAAACCAATTTATGTATGTAATGCATTTGTAATTGAGGCACGAAAATTGAGGCGATAATGTGAAACTGTTGATTGTATCTGAACTTTATTTTGTTCTGCTCTTGTTCTGTTATGCTGTCTGAAGACAAATGTACTTTCCCCCCTATTATAACACAAATCAGAGATTCTGTCTGAAGATAAACAACTTTTTTTCTCCCAATCTTCTTGTAATATTAATCAGATGGTTATGTATGTAACCGTAGTTTTCTGAGCGACGAAGACTGACTGTAAACAGATACACAGATGAACAATATATTTGATACTGTGGATTACCTTTCTGATTTTTTTTTCCTAAATTGAATTAAACTCTGCTTGGCTTTTTACCCAGCTGCCTTATGTTTCCCTTGCTTTTAGTTAAAAATCTGCCTTATAGCTAACACTGGCTCATTTACAGCGATAGTGATCAGTGTCCCAGAAGAAATAAACAAATTTTCAAAAGTTCCAGTGTGTAATATTTAGGAGGATCTACTGGCAGAAATCAAATATAATGTTCAAACCTTTTTGTTTTCATTAGTGTAAAATCAACTGTATATAGGAATTGTGTTTTTATTACACTGCCATGTTTCTACAATAGCCCAGAATGGAATAGATAGGGTCTTTCAGGTTTTTCATGAGTTTTGCGGCCACATTAGATTCTCCTATACACTTCACAGCCCGTTCTCATTCCCAAGGTCATCAAATACAGACGCGAGTAGTGTTCAGCTAACTGCAATCTGCAACTTCAACAATAGATGCCACTAAATCCTACACGACCGGATATTTGAGTGAGGTCGGGGCTTGCAGGGACGAGTGGAAAAATGAGGGAATGTAGTAAGGCTAAAAGATACAGGATAAGATCGTAATATAAAGTTTGTATATTTATTTATTTTTCATACTCAGAATCACTTTATTGGCCAGGTATGTGCACACATACAAGGAATTTTACTCTGGTTTTACCTCAATCTCAATGTACAAACAAACTCTAATAGCATAAATAAGCAGAACAAGTAAAACAAAATAGACATTTATATGTGCAGTTATATATATATATATAAAAAACAATAACATTTGTAGTGCAAAGGATGCTGAAATAAATATTTTATGGTTAAGGTTTCTTAATGCACATAATCTAGGTGGATATGACTATATATATGATTTGTTTTTGTATGTTTGTGTTGTTGATTATAACATATTTATTTAATAGAATATAATATTAAGTATGTAAAACCCTAATAGTACACACTCCGGTAGAGTAGGCGGCGGTATGCACCTTTACAAGTTGGTTTTCGATCCGCCATTAAAATCAGAAAAGAAGAAACATTTCCAGAACATACTGATGATTACTGGGTAATAAAAAATAAAAAGTGGAGGTGGAGCTTGTGCTTTCATTGGTCCGGTGACAATGTGCACGAAATTTAAATCTTTGTGGATGCGGAAACTGCTGCTGCGTTAGAAGTAGAGCATGTCTATAGTTAGAAATAGTTAGAATTAGAATAAATTGAATTATAATTCAAGATGCATATGAACCGTAAACCCAACGAGTGTCCAGGAACAACCCGACCAGAGAGGAAACATGAGGAAGTTTGCTCCGAGGGACCTGGACTCAAGAAAAGGTGATCTGTGACTAAATAACTAGTGAAGTGAATTATGTAGCTCTTTGCGCAACAAAATAACACTGGAAAACGGGGCGACACGTCTATTAAGGCAAATCTGTTCTTTCTGCACAGTTTAATTCTTAGCAGTTTATTTACTGAGGGAGTTACCCTGTGCAGGTTTGAGACATAGAAAGGAGGTTGGCGGTGACAGCAGCTCCTCCATGTTGTTTAAAGTACTTTAAAGTGGAGGAGATGAGGAAACAACTCTCTTTTTGAACGCCTGGGAGGAAGTTGACCGTGTATGTAAAATGCAATTTTTCATGCTACATTCACGTGCAGTCAAACAAAACCGGATGTCGCCGGATTTTTTTTCCACTGAAGGATCATATTTCCGTCCACCATTTGCATGAAGTTCAACCCCGGACACTGGGGGACTTTTAATAAGTGAATCAGCAGTTTTACATTTTTTTAGGGGGGGCTGCACAATTAATCAAAGTATTATTTCAAGTCTAGTTAAAGTAAAATCTTAAATCTGGAGAACAAGATTTGTCAGTTTATTTACAGCATTGAATAAAATAACCTCAACAAATGCTTGAAGATGCTTCAGGGTTAATGAAAGTGTGAGACTATGTGGGATCCCCTAAAAGAGATAATAATACTCCTGTTTTTTAAAAAAAAATGTAATACCTGGGTACAGCCATTAGTACACGTTTCATTAAACACTGTTCACACTGTCTCCAATCATGTTTGCTTTCTATCATCAGAAGCCCCTTTATGCCCCTGAGAAATGTTCAAGGCTTTCCCATTGGTGTGGGGAAGAATACAGACTCAAAGCACAGTGCAGCTAAAAATGCCCCGAAGGGATTGAAGGAGAACGAAAATCCGGGATCAGTGGTAAGATTCATCTTTTTTTAAGCTGGTGTACTGAGCCCACCAAAGGGCCACAATGGAAGTTTCTTTTTCTGAACTACTTTTGCATTCCCTCGCAAATATGCATTTATTACTCGTTCCTCCACCGAGCTCTGACAGTAAACAGCCACTGACTGTGAGCGCAGCTGCTCTGCCTGGCTGTGACTGTGGATGCGGTTAATGCTCGGACCATGGCTGCATTTGTGGTTGGACATGGACATGTCTACGGAAACTTTACCGTGTCTCTTTCCTGCGCCTGCTAACATTTGGTGCATGCCCCATAAGTCCTTATTGCAGCGGCCTGGGTTTGATTCCAGCTTGCAGCACTTTGCTGCATGTTTTCCCCCTCTTTCTGCCCAGTTTCCTGTCTTCTATCAAATAAAAACATAAAAAGCCCCCAAAAATGACTATAATCATAATAACCAACCAAAGCCTGTCTGTGGATCAGAAAGAATGCAAGGTAAAGCATAGTTAGAAAATAGTTTTAGAAAAGAAAATTCCCACCATCACCTTTTGGGGGCTCCAATGGCAGTGGTGGTAAATATTTGTGCTTTTCTTGACAGACGGAAATTGCTGCAGAAATTGCTACTGCACCAGTTCAGCAGCAAAGTGTGACCAAACCAGTGAACGTAAGCAAGCTCAATGAAAACGTGCAAGAGAACAGGACTTTGGGGCCAGCGAGCCTGGGACCAAATAATTCTTCCTCGTAAGTCAGCACACTGCATCTAAATGAATCTGGTTGTTTGGTTGGCATTTTTTAATCATCTGATTAAAATTATATCATAGCATCGTGGTTGGTGATCAGGAGCCAGCTGCAAAGAAGGAAACTAAGGAGGAAGCAGCCAGGCCTGTATATCATGATGAATTGGGCAGTGAAGCTACAGAGGTAAGTAGTAACATATTTTAGGCACTAAAGTACTCATCGTTAAGGTTGGAAATTGTATTGTATGATCGTGGAGGCTTTTACAAAATAAAAGAGCATTTAAACATAGTTTAAAAAATTCAGCATTCACTTAAACTGTCCCGTCCCCAGCAGAACTCAGTGTTGGGTTAGTCAAAAAATTTATCTCATTACTCTTTTAATTTTGGTTCAAATCAAAGTAATGGAATATTTCCAGCTGCTGAATTTAAGTTCTTTCCTCCAAACTAATTTCCTCCACAATTACAAAAAGGAATCCAGTGATGTGATTGGCTTGTTGGATTTCAAATACTAGGGGTGCGCAACAAAAATACTTTTTTGGTGGAGTAACTGTAATATTATTACTAAAATGTATTAGTAATTAGTTACACTACTGGTTACTGGGAAAAGTAATATTATTGCTAGTAATGAGTTACTGCCTAACACCTACAGTCTCGATAAATGGGCTAAACAAAAAATTAGCAGTAATCAAACTATGTTTTCTAATAGTTTTGAACTTTATGAACTTTATGAACTTGTTTGGATGATTAATGACACACTCAACTTTGATATCATTTATACATTTTTACTATTTCAAGCCACTTCCGGAGGCTTTAACCTATCCTTTTAGGAATGACACTTGATCCTTGATATTTAAGAACATCCAGACTGGAAAAGGAATTATTTTTAATATTTAGTTTAATGTCAAGTATGGGTTTAATATGTCACTTTAGTGAACCTTTTTATTTTTAAAGCCCTTTCTATAAAAGGTCCAAACATAGTTTGTATTCTTTCTTTCTTTTTCCTGAAACGCTGGACCAAATGAAAGTTACTATGAAAGATGATACTAATTTTTGTGTTTAAGCTGTTCTCCGGCTTAGCTGTGTCTGATGATGTTGCACCAACCTGGAAGTCTACATCACGGTGAGGCTCTGACTGGGGGTAGAATACAATGGTACAGCTTGATATGGGACAGTTTTTGACAATTTTACTTATTCCTTTCATTGTATTCCACAAGGGATTCCCCTGATTCCAAATCAAAAAGCCTGGCAACAACTTCAAGTGACTCAGTCGTTTTCACCAACTCATCAAACTCTGTCAAGGATCAGGTGTGTTATTGCCTTTGTTAGCCTAAATTCAGCCCTCCAGTGCTCTATTGAGAACAAGACAAGTCCAAGGCAGGGTCCAGAAAAGGTAAAGGTCCCTGTCTAAATTGGCTCAAGTCCTGTCAAATAACAGGATGTTAGCAAACTGTTTCTTTCCTGTGGGTCTGGGGGGAGTACTGGGAACCCTGAATCTGTAACTCTGAGGGGCTCGCACCAGAATCTGATGGCTACATTTGATGTTTCACACTAATAAATTATTTTATTTTATAATAAAGGTATGATATCATGTCATTCTGGTCATCTATGCACACGATAATTGTATCTTTTGGTCATTTTTATTAATGAATTAAGACATGAATACAGTTTTAAAAACATGCCAAAGGATTTGATATTTGATATTTTCTCTATTACTTCGAAATACAAAGGATCAGAATCCTGTTGTGAATCCCAAAAGCAGGTAAGTCACCTTCAGACCCGCTTTTGACAAAATATTGTCACAAAATGATTATATGAATATATATGAATGATTATTGCGGATAATAATATTTCTTGTCTTGTAAGCAATGCATCAAATGTCCAAAAAGCCCGTCGAAACAATAATGAGGTACATTGAGCCTTTTAGATTTCAATCACTTTATCCCTTTATTTTCATTCTCGTTTTTTTTGTACAATATCAGCTCTGTATCATTTATTTTGTTTATTTAAGGATGTAATGAGTCCTGGAAAAATGAACACAGGAAACAGTCCCAGTGAGAAGACATCAATCCAATTAGAAATATCGAGGTATGGAAAATTATCCATAAACATTAAATTGCAGTACATGTATTTTATAGGGTGTTTAGTTTGTGCATTGGTCTGTTTTAACAATTAATATACAGTAACAGACATTTCTTTTCTTTCAACAGGTTTAAATCGGAATTTGACTGCAAAGAGCCTTTGGGCAAAGGAGCCTTTGGTTGTGTTTTCAAGGCAAAAGAAAAACTGACGGAGAAGAATTTTGCTATAAAGATTGTCCTCTATAAAAAGTTAAACATTTAATGATACACTTTTAATATTAATTTCATAGTATAATATATTAGTTACAGATGCAGCACAAAACAAGTTCAAAATTTCAACTGAGCAATTTTTATCCTTTGGATCAGAAAATCTCTACAGGAGGTAAAGGCGTTGACAGATCTCCATCACCCTAACATTGTTCGATACTACACGTGTTGGTTGGAGGATTCAGGATACCAATGGGACGATGCAGCTGACAGTTGGAGCTCTTCACAGTAAGTCCTATGCTCCTACGTAAATCCTTACTTATTCAATCTACTGATTTTTTTATTTTTCTCTTCTTACTTTTCTAGGTCTTCTGTCGACAGTTTATCTGCAAGATACCTTTATATTCAGATGGAGCTGTGTGACAGCAAAACACTTAAAGATTGGATAGATGAGAAGAATACTCAGAGAGTGACGAAATCTCTCAGAGACTTGAGAAGAGAAGAAAGTCTAATTATTATTATTCAAATAGTCAGTGGAGTCGAGTATATTCACTCCATGAAGCTCATCCACAGAGACCTGAAGGTGAGACAAAGAGAATAAAATAATTTATTACGTCACTTCAGTCATGAAGCTTCATATTTGCTTGTTTATTTCTTACCCATCATTAGCCGGCCAACATCATGTTTGGGAAAGATAGGAATGTGAAGATTGGAGACTTTGGTCTGGTCACTGATGAGAACGACGCCGATCCTGAGAAAAAAATGAAGAGAACAGTCGGCAAAGGAACCCCATTTTACATGGCTCCTGAACAGGTGAGATGCTCTTTACTGACTCTGAACTTTAGATTCTTCTGTGTTATTAAAAATTGGTCATTAAAGGCACCATATGAATATTTTAACCGATTGTGGGATTTCATTTTAGGTGCCTCACAGCCCTGAACAGGGCATTTTCGTGATAAATGTCTTCTTCACCAAAGAATAACAAAACAAAAAAAACCTACCTTAAAACTTCAATTAAAAGCAGGAACCCAATTACATGCAGGTTAACTTTACTAGCCTGGTGTGGCTACATGTTTTGACAATTAGACACCCAGTCTGGATTAGACAAGATACAAGTAATATTCATACTGGTTTAAACAATTCTTTAAAGTTATGTTATAGTCAGTTTTGCACATTTTAGGTCAGATTTAATGTAATTTCATGTGTCTGATGTCTTCTTTTACAACAGAAGGACGAGACCACTTATGATCGAAAAGTTGATATATTTGCTGTGGGGCTGATAAACGTCGAACTTCTTTGCAACTTTCGCACTGTCCATGAAAGGCACGAGGTGAGGTTAAGGTTATGTTCAAGGTTCCAGATATTGTTGTCAGATATCTTTTAAAATGATGATCAGGAGAGTTGTTTACAGGCCAGTTAACCGTTCTTTCTACTTTTTAATCACTGCATCATTTCCAGCTTTGGGACGACATCAGGAGACAGAAATTTCCCCAAGGGTTTTCAGACCATTTTCCAGAAGAGGTAAATCATTTTGTACATTTTTATCAATTTACTTGCAGTATGTTTACATGCTCTTAAATAACCAGGTTACTCAGAGAAACTGGGTTACACACATGCGGGCACTCCCGTAGCGTACCACATATCAAGGTCACAGTTCAAAAGATAAAGCAAAATGCCAATCATTTCTTAATGCAATATAGATCTCAATAGCTTTTTTTTATGTTTCAGTGCATCATACTGTGTCCAATGCTGTGTGAGAAACCAGACAACCGACCTGAAGCAAGTAAGGTCAAGAAAGACCTGGAAGAGTACACTCGCAGAAACAAAAATGAGCGCCGTGGCAGCCAATCTGTTTGATTATCAGTTGAAGTCAATGACATCTGTTTTATGATTTATCCTATGCATGTAGATGATCGGTTTTAACCTCTGAAAATTATCTCCAGAGTCTATTAAATATTTGTGCATCATTTACATGCAACATTTTACAAATGCAAATCATGTATTTCTGTGATTTTAGATTATACTGCAGGGCGTTCAGGAGCTATGCATTTTTAAATATAATTTTATATTTTACTGTCTTTTGATTTGATGATTGATTTTATCTTAATCTTAAAACTGTTCTTAATTTAAGCCAGGCATCACAGTCTGTCTGATTTGACATGAGGACTGTCACCACATGGACATGTCTACAAATATTTGACAGGCTTAGTTTAGGGGTTTCTCCAGCAGAAGTCCCCTCTTTTTTGAATTTCTTTTTGGCTGGAAACTTGTAGGAAAGGGGGAGAGAGAAGGGATGGTATTCAGCAAAGGGACACAGGTTGGAAAAGGAAGTTGGGTGCTCTACCAGGGTGCCCCAGAAATCCTTTCTTTTCCTAGTATAAGAAATGATGTGCTATATTTTAAAAGATTATCCAAGTCATTGATCGTTCTAGTGAATTATTTTTCTGACCAACAGTCGATATACACGCTGCCCCTAAATTCTTCTGTTGGCTCAACTTGTTGCTTTGTTCTGCTTTTAATTGTGTCAACTTAACTTCAGGTCCAGTGTGGGTGATGTGAATTATCTCATAGGATCTCAGCCAAGTTATGTGAAACAAAATAAAAATGATTTGCCACTTAGATTGGTCTGTCTGTTTGTATTTTTGATTTATTTGTAGTTTTTTCATGCAAATGCAAAAATTCTTTAATTTCTTTTGGGCTATTGATGTAATTTGGTCACATGACATTTAAAGTATGAACAAATAATAATATACTTTAACAATAAAGCTACAGTCATGGGTCAAAGTTATTTGCAAGATTTATTTTAGAGTATGTATGTAACCCCCTATAAGTATGTTCAGAGGAATACTGGGCAGATAGAAGTTTTAAGCCGTGTAACCGATATGTTCTCACATTACAGCAGTAATGTACTATGTCAATGTTTTCACCAAATCTGTGTCAAACATGGTAGTATGTTATGTTAAAAAACAAGAAGTTTTTATAAGATAAGATATAATGTATTTCTTTATTTATCCCCCTTAGGAGAAATTCAGGTTAACACAGCAGCAATAGGGCAAAGTAGTGCAAAAACAGAACAAAGAATATCACAATAAAAATATTACTAATATTATTAATATTAGAAGATACAAAACTATAAATTAAAGTATATACACTATGCATTGTTCAAGTAGGACAAAATATAAGCAGAAAATTAAACTTAAAAAAACGTAAAAAACTAAAAAACAAACTACTAAAGTGGAAATTAAATATAAATAGTGCAAAAGGCTTATGCGTTGTAGGTAGGAGTTTTAAACCAGTCTTTGTCTGCGGGGGTTGGAGGCACTGGGTGCTGATGGCTGATTCCTGTCGCACCATCCAATGAAGTTCTCAATCAGGTCTCTGTACTCCTCCTCCCTATCATCTGAGATACAGCCGACAATGGAGGAGTCATCAGAGAACTTCTGTAGCTGGCACGCTCCAGAGTTGAAGCAGAAGTCAGAGGTGTGGAGGATGAACAGGAACGGTCACAGTACAGTTCCTTGGGGTGTACCAGTGTTGCTTGTTACCACATCTGACCAGCAGCTGTGCAGTCTGACATACTGTGGTCTGTCAGTGAGGTGGTCTGTGATCCAGGCCACGAGGTCCTGATCCACCTGCATCACAGAGAGCTTTTCTGCCAGCCGGAGAGGCTGGATGGTGTCGAAGGCACTGGAAAAGTCAAAGAACATGATCCTCACCGTGGTCTGTGACTTCTCCAGGTGGGTGTAAGCTCTGTGAAGCAGGTAGATGATGGCATCATCCACGCCGATGTCGGCCTGAGGTGCTGCAGACCCAGTCTCTCAAAGGTCTTCATAACATGTGACGTTCAGGCTACAGGCCTAAAGTCTTTGAGATCGCTGGATCTTGAAATGTGCTACCACATGCTTGTTATCGGTACATGTGCAAAACTTGGCTCTTTTGAAGCTACATTACTGGAGATTTTCCCATGATCAAGATGTCCATATAACTTAGAACTGAACGCACCATATGAGGGCAGATTACTGTTTGATGACTGTTTTCATGAATGTCACATTATGAGAGAAACAAGAAATGGAGGCAATATAACAATTAGAACAGAACATACTGTGTTATGTGTTTTTGGAGTTTTGATTACCATTTCTCAAACATTTTAAAGAAATTATCCAAAACTAAAACTGAAACTAAACTAAGGCTCAGTTTGGGAGTTCACACACTGACCTGATTGTTGTTGTGTTATGTGACCTGTAGGGGGAGCTGTGGCTCTGTAGCTCAGGCTGTTCAGAGTGTGGCTGCAGCCTCCAGGCCTCCCCAGCCTGTGGGTGAGAGAGGTTTATTCACAGTGAGAGGGCCAAAACGAGGGAGCTGTGTGACATTTAATCATGCCTCCGGCGCATGCTTGATGATTAGCATCTCTGTGGAAAACAACACGAACAAGTGCCAAATGCAGAATCCCACACAATCACCTGGCTCTGGTGCACACGGTCACATAGGCCCCCGGTAATCAGCACAAATCAGCTCCTGCGGCTCAGTATGTTAACTCAACAATCACACTGCAAAGCTAAAATTCGCTTAGTGCCTGTGGATGGAGGCCAAACTGTAGGTGGATCGATTGCCTTCAGGTAGATTGAATAACTTGGTGGTAGCTTCTGTCTTACCAGTTATGGAGAGAATACAGAACATTTTGAACCTTGAAAACATAAAATAATTAAAAACCTGCATTGATTGATTTTTTTTGGGGGCCATCTGTAGATATAAACAATTCATTTTATGGTAACAAAAACATAACAATTACTATATTCAGGTGATTATACACCAATAAAACCATACCTATGAATATTATATTCCATTTCTGCCAATAGATCCTCCTAAATGTTACACACTGGACCTTTAACAAAGTGTGGGCTCCTTGCCCAGCTAACTTAGCTAGCAAGCAATTCAACATCCATTGAAGCTAATAATATAATGCTCTGTGATTGCCTTTATGCATCTTAAAATGTTCTATTATCTGCAGTAATTTTTTTGTCTCTATGATGCATTGATGGTATTAAAGGAGGAGCCTCTAAATAACCAGGAATAATGCTTTAAATAAACAGAGTAAAATATGGAAATGTTGTATATGTACAGTAACTGATGCGTACTGTAAAGCGTTTCTCTTAATATAAAGCGCCACTGCATAACCTGTGAGTGTTGCACTCCATGGTGCGTTTGATTAAACAAGAAGAAAAGTGGGCGTTCTTGTACCCGACGTGCCAATCATAACAGTGGGTGTTCCTGTAGAGCCTAGGACAGACTGCAGTCAGACTTTTAGATAGCGTGCCCAGTTTTGTTGCCATATTTATGTGACTGTCAAAATGAAATAGATTATGATTAAATATAATTCCTCAGTAATTACCAACCGTTTGCCCGCTGATGTTTTTTATTTTTTTATTTGAAGATGTCACTTAGATATCAACTGCATGAGAAAACTTTCAATCATCCTTCCCTTGACATTTACGCCACCAAAACAATGCACTCTCTCATTTTAGCAGTATCTAAGATAAGAAAGCTGGTATGTTTCCAATCTTCCACAGCTGTCGCGCTTGTGCGAGCAGGGTTATTGGATGTATTGAGGTCACTTCCTCTGAGAGCAGTGTGGGCACTGAAGCAGCGCTCTAGTCAGTGGCCTGGACCGTGTAGCCAGGGGTAAAATAGACTCACCAGTCAGAAGCGGAGTGTCTCCCCAAAGTCCCATGGGTCAGAGCAAACGATTACTCTGTGCGCAGCCTCGTTGCAGAAACAGCAACCAGAGTTTGTTCTGCTCTGTGTGTTTTAAGAATCAGCCTTGCTGCAAAGACAAAACTATCTCCCACCAGCAGACATCAAAATCAAAACGACAGTTTGAGGATCCACGTGAGTTGTCAGATAGTGTCGTCATCTTCCCTGCCTGTACATATATTTCAGAAGTTTCTCTTGTTAAGTTAGCCCACTTAACCTCTGGTGAACTCCAGTTAACTGGAGCATGACCACGTGCTGTGCCTCACCGGAGGCCCCGCTTGGCTTTTACACTAAACTTTCCACCTCTCCAGAACTACATCCTGCCACTGTCCACTCCACTTAAGGAACACTGCCAGTTCTTTTCAAAAGGCCATACAAGTGATTTCGCACGTTTTAACCTACTTTAATACAACTCGTGGAAATTTCTACATCAGTTTCAGATTTTATCATCTGTTTCTCTTTTCCAGGCAGCCTTTAATTCCATTAATTTTCATACACTGTAAAAGATCTTTAGAAGACTCCTGTAACTTGCTTGAATTGTGTAACTTCCATTATAATTGTGTGGTGATGCAGTTTCAGTCTGTACCGTTTTATCTCACAAAGATAATATGACTTTGAACAATTGTAAAACTGCTCTAATCAATATTAGATACTATTACTATAAGACCAGTGTTTAGGATTTAGTGACATCTAGCGTTGTAGTTTTAGATTGCAACTTCCTCGCTTCATCCTCCTCTTCTAGGCGCGAGCAGAAACTACGGTGGCAATAAAATGTGTGGACAACGTGAAAGCCTTTATCTAATTTCTTGTCATAATGGTGGTACTTGGAGAGCCTGATATTTACTGAGGTGGTATGCGGTGTATCAAAAGTTGCAAAAAATAAACTGCATACCCTCTAACTTGCAAAATAACATTTATTTACAATTTTTTGGTACTCAACTAGAGGTCTACGTTGCACATAAATGTTATATTGCACATTATTATGGGTTTAATTTAGCAACTTTGGATCCACTCCTGTCTCATCATGAAATAGATAGATTTTTTTTTCTTGTCTGTGCTATGTGGTATAAAAAGTTTGAGAAACACTGCCCTAGACATTATACTGAATATAGGACAAAAAGTTCTGCTGTCACTTTTCCTTTCAAGCCATTACAGTCAAGTCCGACCTGTGTATCTGAGCTCCCTTTTTAAAGAAAAACACCTTGTGTTCACTCACATCCGCCTGATTCAGCTCCAGTCAGCAGAGGAGATCAGATCCTCTTCACAACACCTACAGTACATCCTCCCCCAAGCTCTTGTACTCTGGTTACATAAAACTCATTTCATGTGAGAACTCCCAACTGGTCTACATTAAATGCGCTGTAAATCAGAGACAACAGACTTGGCAAACTTTGCTCCACACCAGCCAAATATTCGCTGATACATTACAATATTCATTCTCACTTCTTATATTTACTCCTCAAAAGCACCACCCCGCCGTCTCCTGAGAGTAGGCCTCTCCGATAGAAGAAATAATATTTTCACATCACAGGATTTCTTTGGTTAGCTGTTGTTGTTTTTCACTGCTGACAGTGGCAGCGGCTGCCATTCTGTCTTTTCTTGTTAACACTCCTTTCCTGGTTTGTCTTGTCAATTGTATTGATGTAAACAAATTTTCCCTTTTCTGCTTTGAGGCATGTTTACTGTAACATATCTTAAGTTTGATCTCTGAGTTAATTCTTTATAAAAACTAGGGAAGATGCACCACTTCATGCAAGAAAATATCACTTGACTCAAGAGATAAAATCTCACTCAAAAACAAGAGAAACATTAAAAGAAATTATCTATGATTTTATCTATCTATCTATCTATCTATCTATCTATCTATC